CTGTTGGGCAGGATAAAGATGGAGGGTATTCAGGTTATTCTTATAGCACTTGCCTGGCCAAGGCCATGTCTGTATGCAGACATCATAGTTCTTCTGGTGGACGAGCTGTGGGCTATTCCGGTTTGGTCAGATTTGCTGTGTCAAGGCCTGATCTTCCATTATCCAGTGTCAGGCTTTGATGACATGGCTGAGGAATAGGGATATTTCTGACTGATTCTTACTATCCACAAGTGACGTACCATCACAGGACAGATCTCCGCTTTGGCCATTCTGTTTCAGAGACCTATTAAGTCTCATTCCTTGTTCAAAGCCTTTGTGCAGGGTGTCGCACAGATTTTTCTACCTTTGCAGACACTCTGGAACCTTAATTTGGGCTTGTCCATTTTGCGAGCTTCTTTTTGAAGTTCTTCAATTGATTCCTTTGTTGCTCCTCATTCGCCAGGTTTTGGTAGCCATTACCTCCCTTTCTGGTTCGTCACCCAAGTCAGGACAGCTGAGTTGCCCTTTTTTTTATATCCTAATCCAAAGGAGAAGATGTTTGGTTCTTTGGATGTTGTTTGAGCTGTATGAATATATTTGAAGTCTACAGTTTTTGTTTCAACAGTCTGATCCACTGTTCTGCTTGTTCTTACAAGGGTCAGGCTGCTTCTCTTTCCACTATTTCCAGATTGCTTTATCCACTCATTTCTCAGGCCTGTGGTATCAAGAGCAGAGTCCTTTCTTGGTCGCTAGGAATGTCAGTGCATTTTTGAACTATCCTCACACCTTATTATAAGCCTGCTACTTGGTCTTCTCTTTACACTGTTATTACGTACTACATGTATTGTTTGATATCATGTACAATTTAGGAAATTAGAATTTTTGGTTTACCTATAAAATGCCTTTCTTGGAGTACATCAAAGGACACAGAGATCCCTCCTCTCTTTTCTGATTCTCACTATAATACTCCAAAACCAAGACTTCGCTGAGCTGGAAGGGGTTATGCTTGGGCTGGGTTTCCTGCCTTTTTTTCTTTGGCCAGTAGCAGGATAACCCAAGTAGCTATTAATATAAAGTCCTCTGTGTTCTATGATGCACTCCTAGAGCGAATTTTACAGGTAAACCAAAAATCCTATTCTTTTTAGACATTATTAATATTTAGAGAAGCAAACATTTTTAACTTTTTGTTTTTTGTTTTTTTTTTACAAGTCAACCAAGAACAAACAATGGTAAACAGAGTACCCAATGATGGTTGCAGAATACAGGCTACAGACAATTATTCAATTGCTAGTTTACAGAAGCAACAAAAATCGAGTACAATCACATCATTGTTACAATACAACAAGAAATTATTTAAACTGGTGAATAAGACGACAAATACAAAACATAAATCAAAAATAAGAGGGGGCTCTTACTCCTTCTCCTTCCTTTCCCCTATGGCTTCCCCTAAGGAGTGGTAGAGCTACAGGAACCTCATGCCAGTAGTCATCCTGTAGTGTTGGGAGATGAGATTGCCACTGCGTTTTAAGTTTTTCTGCCTGGGGAGTTTGGAGGGGTAACAGTAACTGATAATATGTAGATATCAACTTGGAGTTTTCCTTTCCCAACAAAGCAGCCTCCAGTGCAGATGTCTGAAGAGCCACTTCCCTGAGGCCAAATTGGACTGCAAATGTATGGCGCAGTTGAAGGTAGAAATCAGAATAAGTAGTGGGTATATTAAGTTCAGCCCGCAAGGCAGAGAATGACTTAAATGCCCCGGAGGAAAATAAATGAGTGTATTTGAGTCCAAACTGAGCCCAACGTTGCAATTCAGGATTATACCACAGAGGAGCATTAGGGGAAAGTGTCAATGGAGTGCCCTTTATTCGTTGATTACACAGATGGAAGATTTTATAGGAGTATTTTAGAATGGCAGCTGCTGTGGAGGGATACGGACTATTTCTGAACAACATATTGATTAAATCTTCATAAGAATGCATAAAGGCTGCCTGAGTTGTCACCGTGGCATTAGAATGGTCAGGGAAAAAACACTCATGTATATGGGTCAATTGGGTTGCCAAGTAGTAACATTGTAGATTAGGTAAAGTAAGCCCGCCCCGCTGAGTGGGCAATTGAAGAGTTACCAGGGATATTCTAGGTGGGCTAGATCCCCACAGGAAAGACGTTAACAACGCCTCTATTTCCACAAAGAAATTTTTAGGAATGTATACCGAAGCATGCCAGAAAACATACAGAAATCTGGGTAGAAAAGTAGTTTGAAATAAATTTGTTTCCCAAAAGAGTTGGGGGCAATGTTGGCCACGTTCCTAAACTGTCTTTTAACTGCTTCACCAGCATCACCAGATTATGAGGTATATAATGTTGGAGAGGCAACTGGATCTCAATCCGTAAGTATTGGAACCGGGAGACAACCTGCAGAGGAGTTGAGTGGGGAAGTAGAAGCGTATGAGGGGTGTGAAATGGGAAAACACTGGATTTACCCCAGTTCACTTTAAATCCAGAAAATTCACCAAATTGAGAAATAACCTGCAGGGCCGTATGAAGGGAAGAATTATAATCCACCAAGTAGAGAAAGCATATCATCAGCATATAATGTTTTTTCCTCCAGGTCATTAATCATGCAACCTCTGATATCCTATATTTTTTCTTATATCTCTCGTCTGACTGGACGGGGCTGAACTGCACACCCAATTTTTGTTATCTTGGTTCAAGGTACAAGCTCATACTCGTTTGGGGATTATGAGCAGTGTGGGGGGGGGGGGGGGGGGGGGGGGGGGGGGGGGGGGGAGGGGGGGGATTTGTTGGTTCTATTTTATATGTACTTGTGCATTTTTTATGGGAGTTAGTAGTTTGTCGTCTTTTTTTCCTTGTTTTCGGGGTTTACTTTTTTTTTTTTTTTTTTTCTGTACTTTGGAAGATGGCTACGCAGAGTGTAATGGTAGTCTCTTGGAATGTCTGGGGCCTTAACTATAAAATTAAACACTCATTGGTTTTTCAATATATACAGAAGCATAAACCTTACCTGATATTTGTACAGGAAACCCATCTTATTGGTTCTGAAGTGATGGCTTTGAAATGTACATTTGTGGCCTACACTCTTCAGTACATGTACTCTAACTATTCTAGAGGGTTACGATGTTAATCGCCAAATCGTTGGGGTGTTCCATTGCCACTGTGGTTACAAATCCATTTGGTAGATATGTTGTGGCAGTCTTGCAGATTAATAACTCAGCTTACACTTTTGTTGCTCTTTATATTCCTTTTCATTTTACTGTGACCTTTTGGAATCAAGTAATGGCGCGTGTGGCAGAAGGCAGTGGCAGAAGGCCTCATACGTTTGACTGGAAATTTGAATATGGTACTCTCCAAGCAATATAGGAGAGAGTTGCAGAAGGTCTTGAGATTATGCTCTCCTGCTGTTTAGAGTCATGAAAGTTCCTCCAACCCAGCAACCTCCTCATCAAGATGGGGAAAAAAAAAAAAGGAAAGGAAAGAAGACTGAAAAACCAGAGGGATGAAGACAGCTGCTGGGCGGCAGATGGAAGTTCAAAACAAGAGAAAAAGCTACGCCATAGCAGCCGTAAAGAGTCCAGGATTTGCCTAGGGATTCCAGCCAGCGGTCCTCCTCCTCTGCTGGAGCAGTGAAGAATTGAGTCTTGCCATTATGGATCACAGCAGCCTAGCCGGGTATAGCATGCTGTAAGGGAGGTGATCCTGTAGCAGTTTCTTCACACTGAAAGGCAGCATGCTGTTTCTGTGTCACAGCAGAAAAATCAGGGAAGATAGTGATGACATTATTGTCGTTAACTAGATCAAGATAGCTCATGGGCCTTGCGGACTGCAGCATCGCGATCCCTCAAATAAAGGATACATGCAAGCAGCTGTCTGGCCAGGCCTCCCGGAGGGGGCTCTAAGAGGAATTCGGTGGGCTTTTTCAATAGCGAAAAGCAGGGAAAAAGTGTTGGTTCCCAGAGAGTTTGAACTATTCTGTAAGAAATTCCTCTTGGTTTTTGTCTTCCACCCCCTCAGGGAATCCCAGAAAGCTGAGATTATTCCATCTAAGGTGGTCCACTAGATCCCCCAGTTTAGCTGCATGAACTCTTTGCTCAGCCTGAAATGCCTCTGCTCTTCGGGGGCAGCATCAGCAGCTCAGAGGGTCAGCCGATGGTCGGGGAGCAGAGTCCAACCAGTCCTGGTAACCCATTTCCCAGAGGGGAGCATGCGGCTGCGCCAGAGGTCTGACGGTTACAGGCGCCATCTTGGGTCGCATAAGCAAAGGTGACCTGCTTCTCGCTCGGAGACACAGAACGGACTTTCCCAATCTGGACCATCATCAAACGCCGCATGGGAACTTCCCAAGCACAGAGAGAGTTCTAGATCGGAGGTAGCAGCACTGGCTGAGCAGGATTATGTGGCAGGATGGTAGTGGGAGCACTGAAGAAGAGCTGCTCACATACTGAAAGTTTCACACGCCTCACAAACATTTTTAGATCTTTATTTATTTTTTTTATTAATTGCTTTATTAGAATTACAAGTGAACAATACCCTTTGTGAGTGTGCATAGGAAGTGATGGTAAAGAGAGCCTGAAATGAAATAGAATAGAAGTTCTATTGGGGTCCATTGACACCACCTGCAGTTACACACGATGATGATGTGTTGGTGTGCTGCTTTGGCAGCCATTGTGAATGGCTCCCATACACACGTGTGCTGATACACACCAGTGTCCTTTAATATACATTGGACGAAAATGCAGTCTACACTCAATTGCCCAAAGTAGTGCGCCTCATTACACATGGACACAGAGTTCTATTGTGAATGGGCCCATGATGCGTGTGGTTTTTACTTTTATCTAATTTTTTTTAAAGGAATCAATTTGTAGAAATATAATCTTGGAATTCTTGGAAAAATCTTGGAGTGATTTTAAGGCCATGTTTCAGAAATTTGATAAATACTATCTTGCTTTTGATATAGGTTCACTGAAACTTGCCTGCATTTGCTTGATTTACTTATTTATTTACAGTCCTCCACCTTCTAAGAAAATGAAGTTGTTTGGATTTAAAGAAGACCCATTTGTGTTTCTTTCTGAGGATGATCCAATATTTCCCTCAATAGTGTAAGTATTTTTTTAAAGGTATGCATATCATAAGATATGGGTTCTACTTGTTTTCTTGGTGAGTCCCTTATTTCCCTCCTGTAATCTGCAAACATTTTAGGTTGGTTAAGACTGTGGCTGACAGTGCGTTATGAACATTTTATGTAGAACAAATTTGAGCATTGCCTACAGTAACTAGATTTTATACTATATGAACTCATGCACTAGGGAACATTCTCTGGTACAAGGTAAACAAACTAGCATATTTTGATGCCCATAGACATGAATGGTTGCACACGGCTGTACGCAACTATGAGCCACTACTTGTTTAAAGTGGCACTTGTGCACAGATATAAGTTCACAAACAGTTTATCTGCTGTGTACACCTGTCTGTAATCATTCATGTCTGTGGGAGGTTGCATGCAACACTGGGAGCTCCCAGACACCAGAATACACTAGTTTATGCTGTACTGGAGAATGCACCTAGGTGCATGAGTCCTAAAATTAACCACTTGCCTACAGGCCAGTATACTCCCTTCTGCCCAGGCCAGTTTTAAGCTTTCAGCGCTGTCACACTTTGAATGACAAGTACATGGTCATGCAACACTGTACCTATATGACATTTTTATCATTTTTTTTAAACAGAGCTCTCTTTTGGTGGCATTTAATCACCTCTGGATTTTTTTTTATTGTTTGCTAAACAAACCAAAAACTGAAATTTTGAAAAAAAAAAACACATTTTTTTTATTAGTTTTTGTTATAAAATGTGTTTGTTATAAAAAGTGATTTTTCTCCTTCACTGATGTGCGCTAATGAGGCTGCACTGATAGGCAGCACTGATGGGCGGCAATGATGGGCACTGAGAGGCGGCACTGATGGGCATTGACAGGCATCACTGATGAGCACTGAAAGGCAGCACTCATATATGGCACTGTTGGGCGTCACTGACTGGCACTGTTGGGCGTCACTGACGGGCACTGATAGGTGGCACTGATGGGCAGCACTGATAGGTGACACAGAAAGGCAGCTCAAATGGGCACTGGCAGGTGGCATTGATGGGCACTGACAGGTGGCATTGATGGGCACTGACAGGTGGCAATGCTGGGGCTACACTGATCATCAGTGCCCTGATGATCAGTGTACATGTCCCCTTCGAGGAATGTCTCTCCTCTCGATCTGTCAGCGTGACCGCTTGTGAGGAGAGAAATGCCTATAACCGGCATTTCCCTATTTACATGCAATCAGCTGTGATTGGACGCAGCTGATCACATGACCGAGCTGACATCTTTGGCTCTTTCCGTTGATCCGTGATTTGCTGTGGCCGAGGGACACAGTGCACCACCGACTGGCGCGCTGAGCGCTCCCGGAGCCGCGCATGCGTGGTTGGTGTGAGAGAACGTCATATGACGTCCTCTCCCAGAGCCGCGCATGCGTGGTTGGAGTGAGAGAACGTCATATGACGTCCTCCCAGAACGAGAGAACTGCCTTTCCCCTGTCATTACCTTATATGGCGGGTGGGAGGCGGTTAAAGTTGGGTAACATTAGTTACCTTCTGGCATGCCAGAGAATGTATGCAATCCTCATGTTGAGATCTGCCTAATATCTTATAAAAAGTAATGTTCATTCTGTTTGTCTTAGAGCTGGAAAAATTATGATTTACAAAGATTCATTCAGCTCTAAACTGATACTTCAGTGGTTCGTGGATCTTATGGGGGGGGGGGCGGCGGCTAAGGAACACAGAAAGTGGCTTTTTGTATCCCTTAGGAACTCTAGTACTAAGATCTTTCTTAGAAATTTCAGAGTCTACTCCACTTATTATAGAGCCCCATTTGTGTAGTATGATTATAAGATGCTGAGTGGTGGGGGGTTAGAATCACTGTCAAGTTTTGTATTGATGTCTGCTGCCTATTAGGGTGATTTACATTCAGGTTTCCTGCCCATTTGAGCAGGTTGCTGTACCTGAAGAGATTACAGGGCAAGGGTCCCAGCACCTTTTCAAAATTGCAGCTGCATGGAAAGTGGATGGTGCTTTTGCAACGTGCAGTTTCATGCACCTGGAAATACCCTAGGTTTTCAGATGTGTAGGGACTCAATTATTATTGAGTCCTATTGGATAGATCACCTCACTTTCTGTTACGTTTACAGGTCAGGAAGTGAAGGGAAATAATCCTGTTTAGACATGTATGACAAAAAAAAAAGCTGGCAGCAGATCTAACCCTCCATTACGCTTTGGCTTTAGATATACTTTAATCCAAACTTGACATAAAACTTGTTCAGTAAAATGTTATATTAACTGAAACTAGTTACAGTAGATGTCTATCTCTTGAATCTGGTGAATCACTGTGATGTTTTGGGAGAAACCTAATTACAGCAATGTTTGCAGGAAATTTTATGGCTTAAGTTCATCATTCCCAAAGACAAATCTCTTAACTCGCACTCAGGAAGGGAAGAAGAAACAATTGTATGTGGTCTCAAAGCAGCTGAGGAACGTACTACTTAATAATAGTGAGAAGATGAAGGTATTTTTGTTTTATAAGATTTACATGAACCAACTGCTTTGTATCTTCGATCAGCTTGCCATATTTCTGCCATATATGCAACACATGCAATGATTTTATCTCAATGTATATATTATCTGTGTTATAATGTTGAACTATACTTTCAAGTCCATTCATTCTGTATTCAGTCAAGTGGAAAAGTAAATCCCTTGGAAATTTCTCAGCTTATTTTGAACAAGCAAAGCTAGATTTTCATTTGATACATTTACCAACGCTTCAAATCTATGAAATAAGAATTGGCTGTATGTAATTGGAACCTCAGATTTCAAAGGTCTGGTGTTCTCTTTGGTGTAGGTTGTGGATGCCACAGAGTCTAGCAAGGGATTTAGAAAGGTTTGTCAAGGACTGGCCAGCCCAGCAAATTCAGCCCATGCTCCTCATTTATTGGTTTATTTTGGGATCAGCAGTTAACAGTTGTCAAACAATCAGATTGCATTAATGTAGTCTTTATAGGTGGTGTGCCATGAAAACATTTTTGCTGTCAAAAAGAACTTTAAACCTAGACTACAGTTGCCCTATAGCAATTTGCATGTAGGCAAAGAACAGACCTTTTGGACAGTGTGCTTTGGATGGATGATTTAAAGATAGTTGTTTGACCACAGTGACTTAGACATGTTTGACCAAGAGAAGAACCTCATACCAAATGTGAATTATGGTGATGGAAATGGTACGGTTTAGAGTTACTTTGCTACTTTAGAATCTGAGCAGCTTGCAGTCATCAGGTGAATTATGAATTCTGCATCATAGCAAGTGTGAATAATAAGAATTTGATGCCATGTGTTTGAATGTTGACGTTGAACCAGAAATGGATTCTTCAAAACAATATTGATCAGAAGATTAATTAAGCCTACCAAGGAATATTTAAAAAAACAAAAAGCTTCCATGAATGGAAAGTTATCTGTGAATAGAGAAGTGGCAGATGATTGATAGCTCCGTCTTATCCATCATATACACTATTTTGCCTAAATTATTGGGACACCCCTCCAAATCATTGGATTCAGTGGTTCCAATCACCTCCATTGCCACTGGTGTATAAAATCAAGCACCCAGGCATGCAGACTGCTTCTACAAACATTTGTAAAAGAATGGGGCGTTCTCAGGAGATCAGTGAATTCAAGCATGGTTCCGTAATATCTTGCCACCTGTGTAATAGGTCCATCTGTGAAATTTCCTTGCTACTAAATATTCCAGAGTGGGGCAGCTCATGCTGAAGCACACAGCGCGCAGAAGTCGCCAACTGTCTGCAGAGTCAATAGCTAAGTACCTCCAAACTGGGGGGCCTTCAGATTAGCACAACAGTGCGTAGAGAGTGCTTCATGGAATGGGTTTCCATGGCCAAGCAGTTGCATCCAAGCCTTACATCACCAAGTGCAATGCAAAGCGTTGTATGCAGTGGTGTAAAGCACGCCACCACTGGACTCTAGAGCAGTGGAGACGTGTGTTGTCTGGAATGACGAATCGCGCTTCTCTGTCTGGCAATTTGATGGATGTGTCTGGGTTTGGTGGTTGCCAGGAGAACGGTACTTGCCTGACTGCATTGTGCCAAGTGTAAAGTTTGGTGGAGGGGGGATTATGGTGTGGGGTTGTTTTTCAGGGGTTGGGCTTGGCCCCTTAGTTTCATTGAAGGGAACTCTTAAGGCGTAGCATACCAAGATATTTTGGACAATTTCATGCTCCCAACTTTGTGGGAACAGTTTGGGAATGGCCCCTTCCTGTTCCAACATGACTGCACAAAGCAAGGTCCATAAAGGCATGGATGATCAAGTTTGGGGTGTATGAACCTAACTGGCCTGCACCGAGTCCTGACTTCAACCCGATAGAACACCTTATGGATGAATTAGAGCGGACACTACGAGCCAGGCCTTCTCTTCCAACATCAGTGCCTGACCTCACAAATGCGCTTCTGGATGAATGGTCAAACATTCCCATAGACACCTAAACCTTGTGGACAGCCTTCCCAGAAGAGTTGAAACTGTTATAGCTGCAAAGGGTGGGCCAACTCAATATTGAACCTTATGGACTAAGACTAGAATGCCATTGAAGTTCATGTGCATGTAAAGGTAGGCATCCCAATACTTTTAGAAATATAGTGTATCTTATTTAATTCATAGAAGCTGTCCTACCGCCTTTGTAAATGGAGTAGCTGGCCGGAAAGGTTGAGCATAGTCAGTCTTTCTTAAGGATATTTTGTGACCAGCCCCTTAATTCTATTAATAAGCCCCCCACACTACCAAAAGATTAAAGTGGGGGGGAGGGGGTGTAAGTGTATACATGGGGGAGGAGTGGTGGTGTGTTTTGCAGGATCACCAGGTTAAAATAAAGGAAAAAAGCCTGAAAAAGATATGGTGACTTCACTGGTAAGCTGTGGTCGGGTTTAGGTATGCTTTAATATGCAACATAATTTCTGAGAACAGGGACTACTGTACACATTTTTGATTTTGAGCTGTCTTTCATAGACCTATTCTGAACTGAACAACTTGCATTTTAGCAAGACTATTGAGAGTACATTACAGAGCGTGGATGACATGTTTAATTGAAGGGTAAAGATAAGATGAAATAACTGCAGCTTGTTTGCATATCTAGTTAAGATTTAAATGTTAAGCGCCTATGAGCTCCCATTATGTCATTAGAAAACAAATCCAAAAGCGAGAAAACTAATTTAGCATATTTACAGCCTGTGGAAGATTTACATTTGTGCTTTAAAAGTTATTTTCTGCAAAGACTGCCTCCATGCTGCAGGATTGTAATAAACCATGTTGTTGCGTTCATTCTTACAGGTAATAAATACTGGTGTAAAAGTTCTCTGCCGGAATAATGATGGACAACAATATAGCTGTGCTTATAGATTAGCTCAAGAGGTAATTGTGTTTGTTTGGTTTTTTTTTTTTGTTGTTTTTTTTGTGCTTATAGTCACAAATGTGTTACTGGTCTGCTAGAAATAATGGTTTTGTTTAATTAAATGTTAATGTAGGGCTGTAGAGATAATCAGAGTAGGCCTCAGTGCTGTGTAATTGAGTTCATCTTTGTGTTATATGTAAAAGGATCCCCCTTTCTATATCTGCAGGGCATCTATACATTGTATCCGTTCATCAGTTTGAGAATTGTGACTGTATGTGTAGAAGACATTAAGGTACTTCTTACCCAGGAAAATCCCTTCCTAAGTAAATTTAGTAGTAAAACCCAAAAACAAACTAAAGATTTAGGTAAGTAAATTTACAATGCTTTCAAAATGTCATGTACTTTTGAAGCACCTGATGCTTACGATTTACATTTGAATGAATGGGGGACTTGTAGTAATTTTATATATATATTTTTTTTTTATTTAATCAAGCCTCCGATGTGATAGCATAGTGCAATTGACAGTTTCACTTTAAGAAGACATCAGGTAGTCCCCTAATATTAACCTCTGCACTTAATGGAGCACAAGTCATGCTCAGTTAGCTTTTTTTCCCCAGCCCCAAGGGCCATGAAATGACAGCGCTGAACACCGTTTTTATTGTTCAGTGATTTTTTTCTTTTTTTTTTTCGGTGCTGACAGTAATGGTTTTATCTTAATTGTATAGTACAGGACACAGGCAGAGTATAGACCTTGTATCCGGTGATTGGACAGCGGCAAAGCTTTTGAGAATAGGCACCTCCCCTATATAACCCCCCCTCCCCCTTCCCCCCAATGTTTCTCTAGTGTCCTCTACAATGATGGGGCACCCTCATTCTTAAGAGTGGGGTATATCCGTTACAGTTTGCCTCTCCTTTAACCCTCAGACATCCCAGACCTGTGGGTTCAAACGGTAATTTAAAAACTCTACCCCTTCACTGCTTCGTTCACTCAAATCAACCAAAATCTGCCCAAACACAGTCAGTTTTTTGAAGAATGCCCTGAACCGCCTCCTTGTCCCAGGGAGTAGTTGTGCCAGTACCCCCACGTGGCAGGTTCAAAGGATTTTATTCAAACCTATTAATTGTACCAAATCCTGGTGGGGTTATTCCTCCTATTCTGGACCTAAAATCCCCCAAACAAATACTTCTCAAATTCCAAAATTTTTGCATGGAATCCGCAAGGTCAGTTATTGCTTCTTTGGGAAATGGGCAATGCCTGGCATCCAGAGACATCCTAGATGCCTATCTGCAAATTCTCGTTTTTATCAAGCTTATCCGAGTTTTCTATGTTTTGCAGTGGGGACAACACCATTCCAGTTTTTCCATTTTGCACATCCTCTTTTCCCAGTGTATCAGCGTACTCACACGGACTTGCACCCCTTGCCTTTCTATGAACTCAGGGCATCCAGGTCATAAGTTATCTAAACCATGGGTTGACAAATCCCAGGTCGCCATGACAACTATGAATTGCATCCTGGCACCTGAACTTTTGCCAGCCATTCAGTGTCAGGCACTGGGGCGCCGCTTCACTGATTTTGTCCCCCTCCCCTGTGTACGCCCCGCACAGCTCTCTCAGGTAATCCACTCCGTACGCTAGTTTGGCAGAGCATGCTGACCGCACCCCCAGGAAACTGACCACTGCAGTGCATCCCCAGCTGGACCACATGGAACTACACAGAGCTCTGGCTGACTTCAGTTTCCTGAAACACAGGCTGGAGGGGGAGTGGACATCACGGACACGTAACTGCCCCATGTGACCTCCTGCTTGATCTGAAATTGAAGTGTAGGAAAGTGTGCAGGGCGGGATGACTGAAGGAAAGAGGCTCTATAATTGGGCATAGAGTGTATCAGTTTGTTTACTTTTATTACTTGCCTGTTCGCTCTCTTCCATCCCTAATTCCCACATTCTGAATTCTTACGTGTTGTATTCTGAACATCCTTCCTACTGAAGTGTCTAATCCCCTCCCCCACCCCCTTTCTTTTCAGATGTCTAAACCCACTCCCCCTTTTCATCGTATGTGCTTTTCTTTTCTTTTTTTTTTTCTTTCTTTCCCCACTTTCATCTCTCATATGCCTTTTCTTTCTCTTTCTCCTGGGCAGCTGATCTAAAAAATAAACTGGCTCTTAGATTCAAAGTAAATATGTCAAGCCTTTACCTAGTCAGCCTTTTTCCTAAAGGACTCCTCTTCCTTCCAGCTATCTGCATACATCTTGGCACAGGACAGTTCATACTGTATGCTGTGATCGGCTTCCAGAAATCGAAATCCAAGAGTTCTGGGGTGGGTGTTTGGGTAGTTTACCATTCAGGCTTCCTTTTCAACCCAAGGATTCTTGGTCATGGCCTTCGGCACTGTGTCTCGCCCTGCATATCACCATCTCTCTCAGGCAATTCTTGTCATGTAGAACAATGGCAAGTGGGTACCCATCTTTGCCGTCATCCCTCTCTTTCTCTAAAGAGACTTGCTAAGTAAACTGTGAGCAGGACGGGTTGTTCTTCCCCAGTATGTGCCCCAATTTTTTCTCACAGCATTCCCTTTGTGATGGAATTTGCTCATGGTCCAGCACCATAGAGCTCGATTGGTATTTGCCATTCAATTTGCCAGAATTGGCAGGTCCGCCACTGGCACCCTGGGCTTTTCACAGAGGAGAGTAGGTTCACCCTGAGCACATGTAACAGACGTGAAAGGGACTGGAGAAGCCGTGGAGAATGATATGCTGCCTGTAACATCATTAAGCATGATCGTTTTGGTGATGGGTCAGGGATGGTCTGGGGAGGCATATCCGTGGAGGGAAGCACAGACCTCTACAGGCTAGAAAATGGCACCGTAACTGCCTTTATGTATCGAGATGAAATCCTTGGACCCATTGTCCGTTCCTACACTGGTACAGTGGATCCTGGGTTCCTCCTGGTGCATGACAATGCTCCGCTTCATGTGGCGAGTTTATGCAGTCAGTTCTGGGAGGATGAAGGAATTTATACCATTGAATGGCCCTCACGCTCGCCTGACCTAAATCCAATAGAACACCTCTGGGATATCATGTTTTAGTCCATCCAACGCCGCCAGGTTGTACCTCAGACTGTCCAGGAGTTCAGTGATGTCTTGATCCAGATCTGGGAAGAAATAAGCCAGGACACCAGCCATCATCTCATTAGGAGCATGCCCCAACGTTGTTAGGCATGCATACAAGCACATGGGGGCCATACAAACTACTGAGTACCATTTCGAGTTGCTGCAATGAAATTTCAGCAAAATGGACTAGCCTGCTGCATCGTTTTTTTACTTTGATTTTCGGGGTGTCCTTGAACTCAGTCCTCTGTAGGTTGATAATTTTCATTCCATCAAACGATGGGGCATCCTTACGTTCCTAACACATTACCCAGTCCATATCAGTATAGATATCCAGCATGATATATTTCCCCATTGAGATCTGATGTGTTTTCAAAGTGTTCCTTTAATTTTTTTGAGCAGTATATATGTGACTCAGTGCTATGGGAAACTACAACTGATAATAGCTGCTTGCACCTAGATTACTTACCTAAAAACAGGTGGTAATCAATAATGAAAATCAGATTGGTACTGCGCTTATTTTCAATTAAACACTCATTAAAGGGTCATGGTATGTATGTTATCTCTCCATAAAGTGCCAAATACTACATAAAAGATCTAAAATCCTCTATAACTATCACTATTTACTGAGCTACTCAGTACTTGTACAATTCCCACACAATAGAAAGTGCTTATTTGCTCCATAACAATCCAGTGCAAATGTGCACCAATATAATGGGCTCTTAGTTAATATGCACTCCTATGCAAAGTATGCCAATCTCCCTATGGGGTCTGCTGATCTGTAGGGGATTGGCATACTTTATATAGGATTGCACATTAACTAAGAGCACATTATTTTGATGCATATTTGCATAGGATTGTTACTAAGTAAATAAACACTTTATATTGTGGATGAATCATGTAAGTATTGAGTAGTTCAATACGTAGTAATAGTTATAGAGGTTTATACATTTAATGTAGTGTTTGGCACTTTATGGAGAGATACAGTTGTGTTCAAAATAATAGCAGTGTGTTGAAAAAAAGTGAATAAAGCTCAAAATCCTTCTAATAGCTTTTATTTTCCATACACCAATGCATTGGGAACACTACACATTCTATTCCAAATCAAAACATGAAGAAAAATATATCAAATTTGTGGTGTTCCTCTAAAAAAAAAATTGAAGAAAAGTGAATATTAGACTGTTCAAAAAAAATAGCAGTGTTTGTATTCTTCTCAAACATTCACTATATAAACTGAAAAATGTTTGAAGATTTTGCTTTCCTTTGAATCACTTAATGAATATTTAGTTGTATAAGCACTGTTTCTGAGAACTGCTGTACATCTGTGTTGCATGGAGTCAACCAACTTCTGGCCCCTGTGAACAGGTATTCCAGCCCAGGATGATTGGACTACATTCCACAGTTCTTCTCTATTTCTTGGTTTTGCCTCAGAAACTGCACTTTTGATGTCACCCCACAAGTTTTCTATTGGATTAAGATCCGGGGATTGGGCTGGCCACTACATAACGTCAATCTTGTTGGTCTGGAACCAAGATGTTGCACGTTTACTGGTGTGTTTGGGGTCGTTGTCTTGTTGGAACACCCATTTCAAGGGCATTTCCTCTTCAGCATAAGGCAGCATGACCTCTTCAAGTATTCTGATGTATTCAATCTGATCCATGATCCCTGGTATATGATAAATAGGCCCAACCCCGTAGTATGAGAAACATCGCCATATCATGATGCTTGTGCAACCATGCTTCACTGTCTTCACAGTGTACTGTGGCTTGAATTCAGTGTTTGGGGGTCGTCTGACAAACTGTCTCCAGCCACTAGACCCAAAAAGAACAATCTTACTTTCATCAGTCCACAAAATGTTGCGCCATTTCTCTTTAGGCCAGTCAATGTGCTCTTTTGGCAAATTGTAACCTCTTCAGCACATGTGTTTTTTTTTCAACAGTGGGACTTTGCGGGGGCTTCTTGCAGATAGCTTGGCTTCACATAGGCGTCTTCTAATTGTAACAGTACTCACAGGGAACTTTAGACCTTCTTTGATCTTCTTGGAGCTGATTGTTGGCTGATCCTTGCCATTTCGGCTATTCTTCTGTCCATTCGAATGGTAGTTTTTCGCTTTCTTCCACGTCTTTCAGGTTTTGGTTGCCATTTTAAAGCATTTGCGATCATTTTAGCTGAGCAGCCTATCATTTTCTGCACTTCTTTATATGTTTTCCCCTCTCCAATCAACTTTTTAATCAAGGTACGCTGTTCTTCTGAACAAT